GGTCGGGTCCTTTGAGCAGAGAAGCCCCTCATGGCTGGCCGCGAAGGGGGGGCGGCGGCGGCAGAGGAGTCCTCCCTCCCTCCCTCCCTTCGGGGAGCTCAAGGCCGTGGAGGCAGGCTTGGCCCCCCTCCCTCCCGTGCGTCCCTGTCACAACAGCCCTGCGAGGTAGGCAGGCCTCTGGAGGAAACCAGGATAAGGATAGAGAAAGGCCTTCTTTCTGGCTATTATCCTTCCAACCAATGCTGCCTTCTCACGATGCCCCTCTGCCTCTTTATACTCATTGTTCTTTGCTTTACCTATTGGGTTTCAATGGTGCAAACCACCGCGGTGTACTCTTGAGCGCTGTCTTCCAAGGCAGGGTAAAAATATTTTAAATAAATACATAATAAAGCAAGAAGGACAGGTAGCTGTAAAGCCATGGGCTTGCGTGCACCTCCGTCCCAAGAGACAGGTCCCTGCCCCGAGGAAGCTACAGTCCTTAATGTTGTTCCTGGGGGGGGGGGACACAGGGAAGATAGAATATGTCCCCCATTCCCTTCATGGGCAGCGAGGTTTCAGGGAATCAGAGAGGGAGCTGGAGATCAAATGGGCAAGCTTTCAGACTTCAAAGGGGATCCGGTCTCAGGAAAAAAGCATTTGCAATGCAGTAGTATTAAAAAACAGAATATACAGCAGAATCAAGCCACAAGGCGCATGTGAAAGAGCAATAAAATAAACTGTTTCATTGACTTTGGTAGAGTCCGTACGGGTGGCTAACATGGACAGGTACTTGTGCTTCTGGCCTGTCCTGAACTGCCCGGCTCACCTCTTGCAAACTGAAGTCCATGGTTTCTTTTATGGATTTGATTGATCCCTTTCATGTTTGCTCTTCCTTTTTTCCTACTGCCTCCCTCTTTCCCCAGCTTTAATGTGTTTGTTTGAAGTACAACAGCCTCTGTCAAATCATCATCACTTCTAGCCAGTCCAGTTTGTTGCTTTGAGCCGTCCAGTTCTAGCCAACATATGGTGACCCTGTGAGTAAATGACCTCCAGAAGGTCCTTCAGTCAACAGTCCTGTTCTGGTCTTGCAGAGTCAACCAAGGGCATGCCTTCCTTTCGTGCAACAGGTAGGGAAGCAGGGCCGCCTTCCAGCCAACCCGATCCCAAACTACGCAGGGCATGATAAACCAAGAATTACACCTTCGGCCGATTGAGTAAGTTGGCAGCCTGTGCCAGGAAGGAAGCACTTACGTGGGTGCCCCTTGGACTGGGCGGAAGCTGCTCAGGTGGAGGCATGCCGTCCTTATTCCTCTGCTCCTTCCTGCTAGGAGGTTCTCCTCAGATTCCTCTCTCTTCTTAAGGCAGTGTTTGGTCTTTTCACCTTGCCGCTTCCCACTTCACCCTTGGATTCCCGTTTTACTTGTCTGGTGCAGATTGTTCGCTCTCTGATTTGCTCTCCAGAATTGCTGAGCTCATGAAATGTGCAAAGGCCTCTTGGTTTCTTGAGCAGTCTGGGCGTTGGTACTGTGGCGTTAGCTGTTTAAGCGGCATCTCTCATTTGTTCTGTTTAAAGCAGAAACCACCACAAATGAGCTGGGATCCCACTTGACGCATAGAGAGCTCGCCGTGCTTCCGGGTTGTGTCTACCTGCCGCGCAAAGTGACATGGTCTGTGCAGACAGTCAGACCTGGAGAGCAGTTGTTCCTGAATAAGTCAGTACTTTGTCCTTTGGTTAAATATGGGCTATTCCAGAAATTTAGGAGCAGCTAGCAGGATGGCAGAGAGCCAGTGTGGTGCAATGGATAGACTGCTGGACTAGGACTCAAGAAAAGTGGGTTCAGACCCCACTTTCCAGCCATGAGAGAATGACAAGGGCAAAGCACCCCCTGAACATCCCATATACCTCCGGAACCCTATGTCGGATCCCCATAACCCAGAAGCAACTTCATGGCACAGTGGGCTGGCATCAGCCTCTGAGTTAGAGCCATGGACCTTGAAGTGGGGAGGGAATAAACAGCCCTGGCGGAGGACGTCTTGTGCCCTCTTCACCTCAAAGTGTGCTGCGTCTCTGCTCCCCGTCTGACTTGTTGGTCATCTTAGACCTGCAGAGCTGGAAAGGACCCACTGAGAGTCCTGATTCTGTCAAGGAGACCCAGTGGGGGATTGAATTCCCAGAATCGACTCTTGGATTCTAGTGCTTTCCTGCACCAACGACCAGGTGTAGCCACAGGTGAGAAGGGTGCACCAGAGTGCTGTGTAGGCCTCCTTCAGTCTTGAGACACGATGGTCATGTGCTCTGAATGGAGGTCTTAGAACAGCGTCTGTGTGGCTGAGAAGGGCCAGTTCGAGAGGGACCATCCATTCCACACTGAAGACAAATACAATACTGTTCCCTGTCCAGCTCCCTGATTTTCCTGGTTGTGAGACTGCCTCTTTGCCTCGGCCTGCTGGACAACGGAGAGGCTGTGATGCACCGCCTGCCTCCAGGCTGGAGGCTCAGAGGTCAAGATTTCCCATCTGTTCAGCTCCATTCCTAAGGCCTTCAGTTCCCGCTTGCAGATTTCCTTGTACTGCAGCTGGGGTCTCCTAGAGTGCTGTAATTGGATGCTGATGGCCACCCCCGTGTGTGTGTGTGTGGTGGGAACAGGTGAATCGGTGGAAAGAGCTGAGGCAGGGCTGTCGTGATTTGAGCACTGATGTTAGTGCTTCCAGTCATCCTGACCCGTGTGGGAGAACCTGTCTTGGAGCAGGGCATGGCGTTGGCCCTGTTGAGGTCGTTGAGAGTGTCGTCTTGCCCTTTCCAGGTAGAGGCAGTTGCACAGAGTTTGGTTATCTGACATTGGGAGGACAGCTTTCCAACACACTGGAGGGCTTCCTCTTTTCTTCAGCAGAGCAGGCCATTGCCACCTGTCTCATGGAGCGGTCCAAGAGAACCTTGCTGGACACGTCGCTCTCTTGCTGAGCTGAAGTTGAGGAAGTGGGCCACCTGTCCCTCCCTGTAACCGTAAACAGGAGGGCTGAAGCCAGCCGTGCTCGACCTGCCCTATCAGGTTGCAGGCCTATAAAAGGAGGAGCAGTTGCCTTAAGGCAGTCTGGATATATCCCCATGGCCACCTGTCTGGGCTGGCTAGCTGGCTGGCTGGCTTGTCCTCTGGTCCTCTGAAAGGTAAACTCCTGTAGTGCCCCACCTGTTGCCCTTTCCAGGTGGGGCAGGCCTTACTTCAGCCTTGCCTTGTCTGCCTTTAGTGCTACAGTCTCTATGACCCCCCCACTCCCTCATCTCCCTATTGCCTCCCGAATGGGTGGGGTGAGGGGGGGCATGTGGTCTGGGTTCCCCTCAACTTGTTTCTTTCCTTGGTTATCCGTTACACTGAGGTTTGTGGAGTGTCTCTCCTTCCCCTGGCAAGGATAAGGATGGCCCTGGAGAAATGCTTGCTCCTGAGTAGGACACACCAAACGGGTTTCGAATTTGCTCTCATTTCAGATTCATCCACCGGAGGCAACGTGGCTCCTGCGTTCCAAAAGCCTCGGGTTGTTCTCATTCCTGCACTAAAATGCGTGATTTTATTTTATTTATGTATGTATTTAATTTATACCCTGCCCATCTAGACCGAAATCTACTCTGGCTGGCTAACCACACTCCAAAATAAAATAAAATAGAACAGCAACATGAATACAATTGAAGATGGCAATAAATAAATTAAGGGATGACAGGAGGGAAGGCCTGCTTAAAGAGCCAGGTCTTGAGTTGGCTCAAGGCATAGTGATGAACGTAATTATGCAATGCTTCGGTTTAGAAAACCTGGGTGGGTTTAGGGATGGGTGCAGGAGGAATCCTAGTGTCCTCAAGGGTCCCTTCCCCTTTCAGAAATTTCCAGAGTGACCAGCCCTTGTAATCCATGGCATAAAAAATGCAAAGAGTCCTTGAAGGGTCTGTTTGGCAGAAGGCTTTGCGACGTCCAGCCCACTTCCTCGGAGCCTAAGCTTTCGAGGACAGCGTCCGGCTTTTTCCTGGGCTAAAAAAACCTGCCGTGATGGTATTAGCCCTGAAGATGTCAGGCGCCCTGAAGCTTGGTGTGGTCTTTGCCATGTTCACAGCGAGCAGGGCAGCCTGGGGCGTTCATGGCCGCAGGTCCGTTTTTCAGAAGCCTGGAGCCAGGCGCTTTGTCCCGCACGGGACTCACAAAACGGGGAAAGAGTGGAAAGCCACCTGTTTCTCTCCGCAGGCCAGCCCATCTACCTGCTTGCTCATTCACTCACCGCATGAACCTGGGGCCACTCGCCTCCGGAGATCGCGCTCCCTGCTTGGAGATAGGCTGGGGAACCCACTCGGGTTCTTTTTAAGGAGGAAAATGTTTTAAATAAAATAAATCAATAGTTGTGTTTATGTCTGTGGGACAGGCTGGAAGAAGCTGGCCTTGACTGGGCGGTCACGGAACTGGGACTCAGTCCTCCGAGGTCCGCTGGGGTCAGACCGAACCCAGGGCAGTGTTGGGCAAATGCTCCAGACTCGCCTCGTGGCCACCCAGAAGAGGAGGAGGCCGTAAGATGCCGAGAGAGGTGGTGCGGTTTTTTGTCGTGTTCGGACCCAAATGTGCAGCGGGGCCGTGTGCTTCCCCAGCGTTGTGATGGCTGGCTAAGATCTGAACAAGGGAGCAGACGCTTCCGTGATCTACTTTTGCTGGACGGGAGGCGGGTGATAGAAAGAGACCTTTTTTAAAAAACACTGTTTCCATTTTAGCCACATTGGTGTCCCGGTCTTCTGTACTCTTAAAGGCCTTCAAGATGGGGTGGATAGATTGGAAATGGGAACATCCGGGATGTCCACGTTCCAGGGCCACGAGAGCTTTTTTTGTTCCTAGATGCGAGGGTTCGTTTTTGGAGACCAGAACTCTGCGATCGAGGGCCTGTTTTGCCTGCAGAGAGGGACAGCTTTAATCCTATTGAAGGATCCCCTTCGAGGATCTTGGGGGAGCAGATCTGGAGGAGGTCTCCCCCTTCTTGGCCCGTCAGCTCCCCCCCCCCGTGGGCAGAAGAGAAGAGGGGGAAGGGTCCGGCAGAAGGTCCCCTTGACTCAGGGGGACGTTCCAAGTGGCTGCCTCCTCCCGGGCTGGACCGGACCGCTCTGGCGGCCTCGGTGGTCTCCAGAGGAGTGGCGGTGACCGTCCAGGCGAGGGTCTGTCCCAGCCCTTCTTTCTCGGAGAGGCTGCGAAAGAGGGACCCTTGCCACTCAGAGCTCATGCTCTGCCCCCAGAGCCACAGCCTCGAGCCGTCTCAGGTAGCCCTATCTTAATCCTCCCTGTGGAGCGGTCTCCCCCTCTGCGGAAACCCTGTTTTAATGCCTTGCTGGTGAGCAGGGCCCTGGCCTTCCTCCTCCTTTTGCTCTTCCGCAAACCTCCGTGGCAGTGCATGGGAAGAAGCCTTCTCAGGGCAAGGGGGGGAGGCTTCCTGCCCCCTCCTCCTCCTCCAGGACGAGGTAACAATCATCCCGGAATGTGTGGGGCTCTGAAGCTTCTCTGGACGTTCCAGGAAGGCGGGGTTTAAGATGGAGCAGCCTTTCACTGGGGCTTAGTATTTTCTTTTGAGGAGGGGAGATCTGGAGCTGTGATGAATGAGACATCCATGGTGGGTCTGGTTGTTCAGAGCAGAAATCTGTCCCTTCTGATTTATGCTGAAAAAACCTATATAAAAACCCTACGGATGGACGTGTCTGCCTGTCCTCCCTGGCCCATTTGGCATGAGCTGGTCTTGGCTTCTGTCCACTTCCAGGCTGGTCGAAGAGAAGAAACCGGTCAGCCCTTAAAGGGAGGGTCTGATTATTTAAAAAGCACCTCCTTCTGAGAACTCAGTATTTGCTTTAGGGTCCAATTCAAAAGAGAATCCTAGTTGCACAAAGATGAGATTTATTTATTGGTGGGATTATTATTTTATATCAACCAGACAGAGAGGGTGCCAGAACTGGCAGGGATGCAAAACCGGAGTCCTAAAATCGGAAGGGGGCTTCTGCGGTCATCAAGGCCAACCCCTGCGCAAGGCAGGAATCCAAATCAACTAAGATTTCACTGTCTAATTTTCTCTTGAAGGCCTGCAGTGCTGGAGTGCTCGTCACCTCCTTAGGTTTGAAATAACTCTTAAGTGAGAAAAATGTGGTCAAGAAAACCCTCTGGGACGACATCTAGTCTCTGTTACGAAATGTCAGAGGGATTAAGGGTCAGACCTGAGAGGGCTGTTTTGAGGAAAGGAGGGAAATGGTGTGTATAGGTTGGGAAGGATGATGATTGGCCCACTTCTCGGATCGCCTGGGGCTTATGGGGAGAGGGACAAAGCCTGCCGCCGCCGCCCCCCTCCTCCCTTCCTGGAACCCCTTAGCTTTCAGCTTGCTTTCCCTGAATGGGCAACGGATGTGATGCACGCGGCTACCCAAGACAGTTTCTCCTCCACGAGCGAGCGTGGTTTCCAGCCCCATCGGAGGGCTGGGCTGCTTCCTTCCAGGCTGACGGTTGTTCTTCTCTCCTGCAGGTGGACCTCTCGCACCTGCCCGCCGAGGAGCGATGGAGGTGAGTAGAGAGGGCCGGCAAGCCTGCCTGGGCTTAGGAACCGATGCTGTGCAACGGAGGCAGTCTCCTCCCCTCCGGTGTCTCGGGGGCCACCCGGCCTGCTGTGGGCGGAGTGCGCTTGCAGGCACTTGGCCTCGCCCTCCGTGCGCCTGCCTATGCCCCTTTCCTGGGTCTTTGCAAGGGATGCTGCTCCGGCTTTAGGAGCGTAAACGCTTCTTGGGAGAGCAGAGGCATCCGAGAATCCCAACAGGCCGATGGAGGAGGCTGAGGAAAACTGTCCCCGTCCATCCGTCTGTCATCGTCGTGTCCCCCCCCCCGGCACCCAGCAGGCTGCTGGAGAAGGGAAGGCGTGCCTTCTCCCCAGTGGGCCAGGAGGTGCTCGTGGGCCTCTCCAGGAGCCCTAGGTCATCTTAACACTGTCCACCCCCACCACCCCCCGCCCGCCCGCTCCTGCCTTGCTTCAGCTGAGCACTGTGTGCTAATTCCGAAGAGGCCTGGTTTTCCTACCAGCCGCCTCCCGGGGCTTCAGGCCACCCCCAGATTTGCACCCTGAATCAGTGGCCCGTGGAAGGCACCTGTGTCCCGTCCAGGGCGTGCCTACTCCCAAATAAGCCAGGAGCTGTAGCTTGAGGTGGGGGAGAAATGTTAGAAGTAAAAGGAACTAAGCAAGGCAAAAGGTTGCTGTTCTAAACTCATGAGGGAGGAAAACCTATTAAGAGCGCTTAGTGGAGGTCTCCCTCCACGGCCCAGGTGGCCACGAGGAAGGAAACAGGAGCAGGGGAAAGCCTGGCTGCAGAAGAGCGGAGGGGAAGGCCTGGCTGTGGAGGAGGGGGTGCCTGCCCGGACCCTCCCTCCCTCTGGGACCCCCCCCTCTGGGTTCTGAGGCTTTGTGGCAGGGGCCTGATCCAGTCAGCCCGCCCACTTGCATCCCCTGCCCAGGGATCCATGGTCCCCGGGAGGAGGGGTTGCACCCGGGGGGGGGAAATGAGAGCCTCTTCCATAGGGCAGAGCCAAAGAGGGGGAGCCTTCCTCGGCCCTCGCAGGGCCCAGCGTGTGGCCACACCAGCACTGGCCCAGAGGGCTTTCGCTGAGCGAGCTCTCGATGGGGGCGAGGGAAGGCGTCAGACGTGCCAAGCGGAAGGGGCTCACTTGCCATCTTTTGTTTGTCTTTCAGGATCGAGCACGCTCGGATGCACGCCAAGCACCGTGGCCACGAGGCCATGCATGCAGAAATGGTCCTGATCCTGATCGCCACGCTGGTGGTGGCCCAGCTCCTCCTGGTGCAGTGGAAGCAAAGGCACCCACGCTCCTACAACGTAAGCTGTCTCTTAGGTATATGTTGTCAACCGCCCTTCTTTGAGACTCCCCCAAACCCCCCCGACCCCCCAAAAATCTCCCGGGCTGCAGCTCTCCCTGCATGGCCATCTTGCGAGCAAGGATCCTTGCTCTGGTTTTTTTTTTCCTGCCCCATACTGGAAAAACGGATGTAGCCACATAGTCATACTCCCAACTTTGGGCAGGAACCTTGCCTGCGTTGTATCCCCCCTCCCCCCCCCGGGGCAAAAGGGTCCTTTCG